AATTACCCGGGCTGTGGACAGTTTGCGAATGAGCTGCGGGTCCCCCTTTCCCCCCTTATTTTTTTTTTTTCGTTTTTTTTTTGTGGAACTGAGGGTTTTATTATCGGCTAAAGGGGGAATGCATGTGAAATCAACGGTTGGTTGATGGAAAAATTCGATTGTGTGAGAATCATTTTTATCGCAACCAAAAATTCTCCATCAATTTTTTTTCTGCATTTGATTTTTTTTTTTTTGCATTTTTCTCCGTGCGGCGAATTTGAATTTTGCGGCTCAAGTCGACCAATGAGGAATCACTCATTTCGGGATATCCCGACTTCATTTTTTTATTCCTCCTCTCATGATAAGAACCCACTGAATAAATTCATATGAAACGAGCGATTGGCTGATAAAAAAATGGGGTTTAAAAAAAAATTAATTTTCCAGTGAAAAATTGAAAATCATGCCCATGGAAAATCATGGGGGTGGGAGACCCATCGAACCTCCTGGAGGAATTACTAATACTTGTTCCAATTTTTTCTGAGCTGAAAATATTCTACTCCTGTGCATCATCATCACCCCTTGATGATGCCCCCGTTATTTTGGCGATGGAAGGCCCCCCAAAATTGAACGACAGACTTGGCCCTGGCGTTTATACGACGACATGGAATAGTAATGAGGGACAGAGATACAAGGCGGGTCTTCCCCCGCGGGTGGAATACACAGGCGAGGACGACGATGCGTCGTCACGCGAGAAAACTACCAGCTGACGTTCTCGTCGAGTCCCTCTTTTGTCCATGGCCGACAGTCTACAATGCACCTATGCCACTGCAGTCTATCGCTGCACACTCTCAATGGTATTTTTTTTTTTCCACATGTTCATGTACCCCTCACCTACCCCCGCAAGTTTGATAAAATAAAAAGAGACAATAGGGGAATTACGAGAGGACAGACACCGAGGGGTGAGACCACGAGGGCTTTTGTATCATCCTGGAATTCTAGCCAACTAGATCTATTTGTGACACCGATGGCTCGATAAGGGGCGCACAATTGAGGGATGAAAAAAGGGGGGTCATTAATCATTTGAGGTTTCAAGTACCCTCGGGGGGAATTACGTACCGGGAGTTGTGGATTTTTTTTTTTTACACTCTGAGGGATCTTGTATCACCTTTCGAAATTACATACCCGCATGGGGATCAGTCCCGCAAATTGTTGGTGATATTTTTCTTTACGGGGATGCAATGAATATTATAATTCTAGGGTTGTTGAGAGGGTGCTGTTTTTTTAATAATTTGTTATCTTGGAGGATTTCGATATTCAGTGGTTGCACGTCGATTTCCGGTTTTTCAGGCGTGTCTGTAAGTCTGGACTCGTCAACAGACTCAAGTAGTTGAAGTGGGGTCCAATGAACTTTCATCAGGTATTGCTGTGAGGTAGTTATCCCCTTTTTGGGGCATGGGAGACGGGGAAAGCCGGAAAGACGATGAAAATTAGGGACAGAAGTTGGGTCGTGTGCTCGGCAACATCCGCCGGTCTTTCGTGGTCTTTCATCCGACCCACAAAAAATATAAAAGGGGCAACCCTTGGCCTCTTCCACAGGGGCTGCTCTCTGCCACACCCTTTAGTGTGCACATCCTTCCGCCCACCCTGGGTGCCACGTCATTTTTTTTATTTTTTTTTTGACGTCTACCTATACTCGCAGAATCACCTTTCCTCTGGCGGTGCGTCACAGATATATCTTTTGTCTTGAATTTCAGAAAACAGGTTGGCTTTTTAGCATTCGTTTCAGATAGTCAACTGTCGTTTGGAGTTGATGTCGGGGCGATTTTCCCCTCGATAATTACCGCTTTCCTTCTTTGCCCGTTCGCTTCACTTGAAAGAATATGGGGTGAACGCCATGATGACATGGAGGAACGAGAGGTCAAATTGCTGAGCTATTTATTTTTTACGATGACCAAGTACATGAGCTCATTGCGCAAAATATTGCATCAGTTCCATTGAAAGTTGAGCAATATTTTTTTTATGCAAAACAGATTAAACCACGAAATTATCCGAAATTGTTCGGCAAACAAGAGGACGAGAATGAATTTTTTATTAAAAAAATTCGGGTTGAATATTTTGTAATATTTAATTATTTGAAAAGTCATTGCTATTGGACAACGAGGATTTATTCTGTGAAAAAAATTTATTTCCGACAGGTGAATATCCTTGAGATAACTGAAAAAAAATATGTACCTGAAATTTCCATTAAAATTTTTTTCGGAAACACTTCAAATGAATTCAATTAACGCCACGATTTTTTGCCGTTTCAGTCTCCACATGAAAAAAAATTGAGCCAAAAGTTTCGAAATTCCGGTGGTCGAGCCGCCCGTTAAATTCCTTGAATTTTCAATGAAACTTTGAATTTCATGAATTTTTTACTCCGAAGTTTTTCCTGAAAAGGTGTCCATAAAATTTCAATTTATTCCAACAATGCAAATGTCAATTAAAATTCTCCAATTATTCCCCAATTATTATAGACCGTCAAACATGAAATGATTGATTTTCTCGGATATTTGGTGAATGCAACCCAGACAAAAAATGGTGGATCAACCCCGTCTTCCAGGAATGCCGACAGCCAGACACCGAAAAACTAGCCACCCCTATCGCGAGAGGACGTGATCCACAAAAAGGTGGCGCTGTCTAAATATATGAAACCATTGCCGCCTCGGGTAGGCAATGCCGAGAGAACGCGGTCAAACGGATTGTTTGCGGGCGACGCCCACCCATATTCGCCCTGGCTTTTACAACCCAAGCAGTAAAGTACGAAAATTATGATCGGCGCGCTTGTCACAGCTCGAGGCAGTACCCGAGGCGATTGGTGATGCAGCCCCTCTCCCCCACGAGCCGCAGAAAAAAAAAAAATATACCTCAAAGCCCAAAGTCAATTGACAGAGAGAACACGAGTCCCCGAAATCGATTGAATTAAAGTGTCACTCGAAGGGTGGTCCTATCAGCTTTAGAAGCAACTCCTCTTTGATTCTGAAGTGTGTTCAACCAATTTTCCTCACTCCAAGCCACCGCTTAATTGAACGAGGCATTTTATTTAACACAGTCCCCTGCACTCTGGATAGCGGCTATTTACCTCAATTACGTAATTTCACTGTATACAAAACGACCACACGAAAGAGAGAGGCCACGTATTATTCCAAGAATGGGGCATACACCACTCTCTAAACCCAGTGGTTGATCACTGCGGTAGTTGCTGGCTTGCTTGATGACACGTGTTTGTGGACATTCAGCTTGGTATGCAATTAGCTGCGTAATTTTACTGTATGGACACAAGAGTCACCCCATTGGCCTAGTCCCAATGCCCCCATCAGCGTGGATCCCTGTGTTTGGATCTAACGGAAGAGGGAAAACTCATCTAGTCCCTTGATGATTGTCCTCCACCGCGGCCACACGACGCAATTCCAAATTACGAAACCCGGAGAATCATTATCTTTCTCATATTTCATGCTGGGCTGCGAGTGTTGTGAGTGGTGTGAAAGCTATCAAGGGGCTTTCTCGGGTATCTGGGTTGGAGCCTGATGATTTTTATCGAAGACAGTGATCCTTGATGCATCATCAAGCTGCAAGGAAAAGCGGAGGAGACGAAAGAGACTTCCACTTGGAATCAGTTCTGTTGCTTTGGTGGAGGAAGCGTGAATATGACCCTGGGGTAATCCACCTCTTCGGTTGTCACTTCCGGTTCTCACGGATGGCAGAATGTTTCTCGCAGAAGAGCATGAGGTGGCAAAATGAAATAGGCAAGGTTTCGTGGTTTGTTGTACGACTCGTGAACCAGGGAATAGACAAGTGTGAGGGATCTCTTGGTTAATATTGGTTGGAGGGATGACCGGTGATTTGTAAATTGCCCGCCGGCACTTGATGAGCATCAGATAAGGCCAACAGTCAACAAGTTGTCCCTTACCCGTGCTATCAGAGAACTCCTTGCTAATTGCCAAGTGTGCCTCTGTCAATTCCATGGATTGAGGATACCCGGGATTCTCAAGTGTCAAGGTCGACACTCGAGGGACACCCGTCCCTTGAACCAACATCCATCAATTGCTTATCCTAATGGTAATAGCCACCTTGGACAGGTATGCTGCTACTCGTCAAGTGTTTGCTCTACCCTCGGCAAGGTGATATGCAGATTTCCAATGGTACCTGAGAGGGTAACCGTTCAGTGTCACAGGTTGCTCCAGATAACGCTAAATCAGTTATCCTCACTAATCTCAACCCAGGACAAGCACAAGTGGTGTAAGATGTGACTGTCAGTGGGCGTGGCGAAACCCATATGCCTCTCAAATTCGGCTCTCACTGTCCCCTCCATTTTACTCATCCCATCCCCCACCTAAAAAATGCATCATCTCATTGGTTATCATTATTAATCCATTCACCCTTCAAACACTGGGGGATGATCTCCCTCCAGTATTCAACAGTATCAACAAAGTCTTTCAATGAGTTTCAGTGATCCCCGGGTGGATAACCACAGTGCCGTTTCACCAGGCTTCCGGTATCAGGATTTACCAGGATGATGAAAAAATTTTCCTCCTCGATAACACACACAGAAAACACCAGATGGAGAAAGGCAGGAGATGAGGATTAAGAAAAATTCTCCCACCAGTTGGATTTCACGTATGAGGGATACTACAGCTACCATGGGAGATACGACCCCCGGCGATGAGGATGTCGTGTGACGAGGCTGGGATTCAGGTAAGGCGAGAACAGCTTCTCTCCCTCTGGGTATAGGCAGTGGGCGTCAATGGATTGTGGTAAACGCCTGTTGGATACCATAATGGCCTCCGTCGAACCAATCGGTTGGATGGACGTCACGTAGTTCACGGTGGGGAGATGGAGCGGTGGCCAATGAACATCGAGCGCTGCAGCGCAGTGGGTGGGGCCAATGGTGGCGCTTCACAACGGGCACCTGGTGAACCTTGTCGACGGGCTCGGGGAGAGGCTCGGGCTTCATTATGTATCATTATACCGGTCCGCGCCGCGCGGTGTGCACTGCAGTTACTGGCAAAGACGCGCGTGTGTGATTCCCCGTTGTTTTCAGCTTTACCTTCTAAACGCTACGACGTGCTCGGGCGAAAAATCGTGAACGTGACGCTTATATTCGATTCTTGTTGTTCCCATCTGATTCCTCAACAACATACGTGACGGTCTAATACTGGTGGATATTTGTTATTTTTTTTTCCTTTATCAGTTTTTTGTTCTGTTGGCTTTTTTTTTTCGGGGGGTGGGGAAAAAGGGAATTGAAAAATCACAGTGATAAGTTTGTGCAGAGGATCTTGGATATATCAATCGTGGAACTCCAGTGGACCAGGACAAGCTGATCGGTTTGGTGGATGTTGATAGTTTGATCCTTTTGGATTTCAGAGGAGACAGTTGACGTGTCGATAGTGCCTGAACACTGGTGACGGATTACTAGGATTGATGGTGATAATTGAGAGGGTCTTGGTGATTCGGCGAAAGTGGATTGTTGGTGAAAATTGGACGAATCATTGAGTTGACGGGAAAAGTGAATCGGTGATTTGCACTGGGTGTTTGCCGACGGCAATTATCGTAAATGGATGGTACGTGAATGGTAGTTATATACCATCGTGGATACCCCTTGATGACCCTTCAATCTTGCACTTGTGTTAATCACCGTTGATTATTATTTGAATTTTATTTCGTTGGAGATCAGAATTTGAAGGAGACTCGTGGCTCAACAAGTGAATACTGTGATTGAAATAATAATTTTTTTTTTGTTTCATCGGTCAATTACATTGTGAATCGAGAACATGTGGAGATTATCAGTTACCCGGCAAGAGCAAACTGACATCCGGACGGTAAAAAGCTGACGCAGGGTGTTGGGACAATTGTTCATCGAATTAGATTGAAAATCTGGTAACTAGGATTAATCGTGTGTGAAGGAGTGGACTTGAGACATCCCGTCGGGTGTTGATGTGTGTGACAAGTGTCCAGTGATATGACTTCCGAGTGGAGCCTCGAGGAATAACTTGATAAATCATAATCATATCAGCGTCAATCCGTGTGAGTGAATTGATCATCTAGTGCCAGATGCTGAGGATTATCATTACGCCAGGTGGTGATCAATTGTAATAAATAATCGTGTTATTTTGAACTTTAATTAAAAAAAAAGAAGGGCCGACGCGCAAGCTCGGCAGGCCCCAAGATTCGGGCTCCGTGCGGCTTCAGGGTCGCGGCGACGTCGGCAAGTGCCGTGTACGGCGTCGACGTCGCTACTAAGGTGGAACGTCCGGGCAGCACGACGACGCTCAATTTTACGGATCTGGGGAGCCCATTCGGGGCGGGCGACCCCTGTCCGTCGAGTACCCCGACCCCGAATAGCATGTCCGGGGGTGGTGGACCAACATCTGGTGGCGGTGGTACAACCACTGGTGGTGGTGCTAATTCCGACATGGAGCAACACCTGCATCATGGAATTGGCTCAGTAACACCAGGACCACCTGGCAATGGGGGTGACAGTGCATCTAGTACACCGGTATCACAATCTGGCAAAAGTGCATTCATCGAATTACAGCACAATAATCTTTATAATCCAGCTAGTTTGAGGGGTGGTTATCCGGGTGGACACAATGTGCCGGGTGGACATCAGTTTTCTCATCAAGTTGGCTCACTCAGTCATCAGGGTAGTGGGCCTGGTAGTGGTAATCAGCAGCATGCCGATGCTGGATTTCCAAGCCCAAGATCAGCCCTTGCTGGGTATCCCTTTGCACCAATGCACCAGCACAATTATGGATATCATCTTGGATCATATGCACCGCAGTGTCCCTCACCGCCCAAGGACGGTGAGTACCCCAACTGTATGTATTCGCAGACTATTTTTCATATTTTATTTAGTTATTAAGTTGTCGATCATAGCTAAGTAGCAAACAGAAACATCAGGACGAATCACACTTATTCAATAAATTTAATTACCTTTGCAGTAATTAAGAGTCACAAAAAAGGTGAATCATGATTACCGCGGTGATTCATGGTAATTCAGAAAATATGAATTTTTAATGGAGCGAAGTTGACAATCGTGAATATTATTTCATTGCCGTTGAATAATAATCAGAGTAAAATCTTTGGATCACCCCTCAAAGTTCGATAAGTTCTCGATTACTGAAAATATTCTGTCGCTCTTCTGGTTTGTTTGCTCACATAAACTAAGTTCGCTGTCTATTCCCACACTTGACTATTCCCCGAAGGGGAGCTCCTCCATTGCATTTCACAAATACCTTTTGAATTCAATAAAAACCGGATGATCCAATCAATAAGTGAACAGCCGATTGAAACGTTGTGTGCATCTCTCTTTCCCTCCGTCAACTTCACTGTCATAATATTCAAACGCAGTGCGTGCACAAGCTCGCCCTGCCAACACTCCTCTCGCTTCATGCTCGCAAACTTCAACGAGGGTGAGTTGAATTTGAAATGAGGGTTGAACAATTGTTTTTCTCACTTTTTTTTTTCTTTCGACTGGTTTAATAGAGACGAGTCGAGAGACGCACCATCGGCGCCGGAGCGTCTACCGGTTTTTCCTGAAGGGTTCATTCTGCCTCCCCCAGTTAATCATTCCGACAACTGAAGAACTAGTTGTTTAAAAGTAGAGATTGTCAGAAAATCATTGAATTTGTATTACCGAAAATCTATTTCGCACTATAATTGTTGCAATGAAAAAAAAACAGCGCGAGGGGGAGAGGGGGATGTATCATAAAACCTGTTCAAGAATACGAGAGCGCATCAACCTCCAGCGGTGAATAAAAGAAAAGAGAGAATGAAATAAAGGTGATGTTGAGGCGAGTGGGGTGGGAGGGAGAGAGAAAGAGGGGAAACACCCGAAATATAAAAAAGAAAACGGAAGAATCTGGAGTAGCAGGTATAGTGGTTTGTGCCGGCGGTCGACGGCCCTGCGCGCGGAAAAGAAGAAATGCCACCCGAAAAGAGAATAAAGATATACGACAGAGGGGGAGGGACGTTTTTTTCAATGGCCAGGGGAAAAGACGAGGGGGTAAGGAAGCCCCCGGATGCCGCAGAATTCCCGCAAAACGGTACAATTCGGGAGTAAGAAGGAATATTAGACAAAAGTAAACCGCATCATTCAAAATTCGTGAAAATCATCCGGATCTCCAATATTCGAGATATAATAAAAGTTGATTGACAAAAAAATATAAATATTGAAATATAAAAATATAAATTAATCGTTGGCTTGGCAGAGAAATCCTGCACGTGGATGAACCTGCAGCCTTCACCTTCCTAATGCAAGTGATCGTCTCTTTCATCATTTGAATTCATAATGATCTTAGTAATTAGTGTGCAGCAGTCTGAGACATGTGATGCGTTGGGATCATTGTCATCCACTTGATCGCGGGAGTCGAACGGATGATTTTAATGAAGTGAAATGAAAAACTCATTTTATGATCTAAATACGTTGGCTTTACACTATCCCTCAAAATACAAGGGGTTGTAAAATAACAGGTGACATGATACAGGGAGTAACTAGAGTGACTAACCATTCCTCACGATGCGAAATAGTCGTGGTAACGAGTGTCCACGATCCCCATTACACGATGGATAATATAACTTTCATCCCTCTGAGAATGGCCAGTTTTCGTGGTGAAGAAGGTGGTGGAGTCTCTCAGTTGAAACGACGAGGGAATAGTCAGAAGGGAGTAAAGTTTCAAGGAGTTTAATGGTGGGCACACGCAATCCTTTTCACTCCCCCATGCCAATTCCGTTAATTCATACTGCATGAAGAGACAACTGCCATGTCGTACGGATAACAGCTAACCCAACTCATGTCGATGAAATCATATTCCCTGAGCTTTTCATACGCGATTCCCCTTCAATTTTAGTTATATATAGTTTCAACTGACGCTACGATTTCCACGTGTGCCATCAACTCGACGACGAGCTTGTGGTTATACTCCGACACTTTTTTTTTTTTCACCCCGGGGATGAAAGGGTTCAAAGGAAACTTTTCAACAATACTTTTTTTTGTCTCTCCTTTCCTTTTTTTTTCGTTACACAATTTTGCAGTATAATCCATCGACGGAGGGTTGTCTCCGTTGAAAGGTGTTCGTCATTTATTCATTCCCTAATTCGTGGCCTCACCGTTCGTTAATTTACCACTTTTTTTTTTTTCTTCAAAACCATCCAACTGCGCTTTACCTCTTTAACTTAACGACGTTGAAAACCAGTGATTGTCGCTGTGAATCAATGGCAATTGCTTTTGGAGTTTTCAAACGAAAAAAAGCTCGGCGATTATCATTGGTCCCTGATATTTTTAATAATTTATGCAATCGTTTTATAGTCATTCCGCGAAAACAATAGTGACCGCCGGAGTGAATCACTCCTGGAGGAGCGCCTCGTCATCGTGGAGTTGTCATTATTCTGATTGAGAAGACCACGAAAATTTTTCCGCATTACGCATGAGTGACAAAACAAGAACAAAGTCATTCATCACGAGTATGAAAATGAAAAATAATATCTCCAATGAGACAATCCATCACATCACTCTTCACCAGCGAGTCCTCATTCATAATAAAAAACCCTTCGGTTGAGGTAGAATCCACACGCAAGGTGGGAGAGTGAAAAATGAGTGAAGAATGAGTGAAAACGATAAAATAAATTCCATAAATAAAGCCTGAAGTATAGAATAATCATGAGAATCAGGAGGATGTGTATTTTCTGTTGATGATAAGGAGAAAATTGGCGCCACCTGGAATCATCGTCCTCTGTCCCGTGCAGGCCCTTCCAATGCGGCATACCACCACGTTTGATTAATTAAATAATAAATATATCACATGGCAATCGTGATTGGGTTAATTGACCCTGAGCACGCCATTGTTTGTGCATCCTCTTCAGCGAGCTTTACCCCCGTAACAATTGGCGATGAGTCTCTGCACGCGCCATTAGCTTCTTTCAGGCGATAAAGACTTCTCGACATTTCAAGATTTCTGTTTACATTATCACACAACACCTTGACAATAGACCGCAATCACCGGTGCATTGCTGGCAACATGTACGACATCACATTGTCTGATTGTCGGTGGGATTGAGAGGGAGCTTGGATACCTGGTGGAAGACACCAACAAATGTTCATAAAAATGGGACTGATATGCAACTCCAAAGCGATTCTCCGTGTAAACGCTCCTGTGGAATTGAATTCTTCATATTCAACGGTGTTGTTCTACCTTGGGTAGAGATTCGCTGATGGGATAAGCTCCTAGGGAGGCATCAGCAAATGTTGGAGCGTCGGCGGTAGGCCGTAGCGAAAGAGAGGTGTACGGGATAGAATGGCCTACCTCGAGTGGTGTATTTCAAGTTGGTATTATAAAAGGAGAGGATCGTGCGAGGGATCGGGTAGCGATCGCGTGATTTTCCACCTCGGGAGTGTACACGAGCGGTTAAACCTCGGCGCCATGGCAAACATATTCGCAAACGCCTTGGCAAGTACATATCGGCAAGCTAGATTTTATCGTCTATTTCGAAGGCATCATGCCTTATTTCTTGGTACATAGGTGGTGGATTTCAGTTGAAAATTCATATAGTCGGGTTGTCTGACGGATGTTGATGGCTGAAGAAGTTGCAAGGTTGTTGCTGATTCGTGGCAATTCGTGTGTGACGCCATTTTTTTTTTACATTTTTTTTTTCGGGACATCTGGAGCTTTGGGTTATTAGGGGAATCCAATTAGTGGGTGGGAATTACTCGAGCAATGGGCATTGGGGAAAATGGTCACTGGTCACTGGATTCTTGACCTGCTGCAAATTAATCTTCAACGGTTGCAAGAACAATGGGGTAGGCTTCCTCGGATGATGGATCAGGTATTAAATGATTGTTTTTACAAGGATTAGTCTTTTTCTTTTTGGTATTAGCTACTTGACCGTTGAAGATTCCTGGGGATTTGAGGATCTGGGTCTTGGCATCTTGAGATTTACGTGAAAGTCGTGTTTCCCCTTTCTTTTTGCTGGCACACGGTGATCTGGTGATTTTTCATCCGATGATTGTTGTCGGTAAAAAAATTGATAAAAAAATTTTACAATACCCATTTTTTTTTTAATGCAACTTTTATGATCGGATGACGGACAAATGGAGAGTTGTCAGTTGTGATCTGATGGCGGGGGGTGATGAATGTGCATTAATGTGGTCTTCTTCAGGGCCATAAATTTTCATAAATTTTCTTGGTGAGTTGGAAAAAAAAGTGCATTCCTTTCCGGTGAATGTTATATTCACTTGGCATTAAATCCGGGAACAATAACGAGTGAATCGACACTTTCATCGTGACAACATCGTAATACTCTTGGGGTAATTGCCCGTACTAATTTCGTGATGAACGGTAATTAATTAACGAGGCCGATTAAATCGTGCCCACGTGAGGCCTCCGTGGAGGTGTATGCACTGGTATTATGCTAGGGGATTTTTTTTTATCCACCTTGGTGGCTAGATGCATGCATCCAAGACTAGTTGGTATTGCTCGTGGATAAAAAAAGAAGATAAAAAAAAAGTGGTGAAGAGGGAGTTCTGGAGAACCGTAGACCGCTCCCACTGGGCTGCCATTCTTGGTACCCTATCGATTATTCTTAACATTTCTTCGCACGCCCTCGCATCGTTAGCCTCATCCAGGGAGGGATATTGTGGCAGGCCTTGTTAAAATTGATGCATAACGATTCCGTTAGGGGGATACCGGAGGTCTCATTCACGAGGTGAATTGTTTTCTTCGAGTCAAGAGGCTCATCTTCATTCTGAGGTACATGATCGTTAAAGATCAAAAATATTTTCACTCCCTATTTTTTTACACGTCATATCAAATCTCATTTTATTCTCAACCCTCAACTCAAAGTGGGAACACGAAAGATAACTTATGCCAGCGAATACCTTCGAATTTCAAAATCATTATAAACAGCTTTTGCATTTTCCGCGGAAACTCAAACAATGAAAATTTTTATGCTAGACTGTATGGGTAATATAATTTATCTTATGTATTTCTTAGAAAACCATAATTATCTGACCGTAAAAAAAAAGCAATCAATCAACTGACACATTTATCTCTAGAATGCCAAATATTGTTGAAGAAATATGTCAAATTGAAATCTTAATAGTTAAAAGAAGAATCCACTAATTGAATCGGTGAAAAGTAGAGAATTTTTGAATTTCCGGGAAAGCGGGGACGACAATAATTTATCTCATTACTTTCTTGAGTGAATCCATGAGTTTTTTTTATTTTATTTTCATTCGTTGCCCTTTCTAAGACTTGGACGCTGATGGTTGATATCAGGGTGGTGTATGTTTACAGACCTCTCACCACTTGGCGACAAAGGCGGTAGTCTTGTCGATGAGCTAGGCGGCGGTGGCGGTGGATCACTGAGAAATGGCAAAGGAAAGAAAATGAGAAAACCCCGGACTATCTACAGTAGTCTTCAACTTCAACAACTCAACAGGCGGTTCCAGAGGACACAGTACCTAGCGTTACCTGAGAGAGCTGAATTGGCAGCGAGTCTAGGGCTGACGCAGACACAGGTGAGTCTTCAAATATTTTTCTTTCCGAGCTAGTGTGAGTTGTTGACAGTGATGAAAACGATAATAGGTGTATCGTACTTAGAAGTCTGACAGCAGTAGTGGACAATCACTTCAGTCCACAACTGTCAGATTTCCAGTTACTCAAATACGACTGTCATAACAAACATGTCAGGGTAAACGTTGTGGATCGTGACCTGAACATGTACACATGCGCCACACAGCGAACTTTTACCGAAGTTCATTCCTAGGATCTAGATAGATAAATTAGTCTAGCATACTGTCCTATAAAGAAAATATACGAAAGTTTGCACAATCAATTGGTCAAACGGATAGGTTCAATCAATCAATTCTTCAGGAGATAGTATCAGGAGTTATACCTATCGAAGATCAGGAATCACCAAGAACAAAGGAGATTGGTGAATGCTGCTGGTAGCGCATGACCACGTCATCGTATTACGAAAGCCTCGCAATACAACACCACTGGCCAGCATCTGTCAGCGTTATCGGCACAAATGACTGCCAGTAAATCACCAATTCGCCACGCCCTGGACATAGAAGATAGGGTTGCTTCTCGATAGTGTCCGGTGAATGTCTCCCAACGCTGTGGCCACTCTAACGAGCCAGCTATAAATTTTCCGAGCGCTCGGTCATCCGATCTTGTTTCCGTGATGCTTTCACTCATTCCAACAAATTCCCCTTCCATACTTTCCCTCAGCCACCAACCCTTCACCAAAACTCGTTGTTACATCAAATTGATACGTAAACGAATGAACAACTGAATCGAGTGAATAAGATCAGGATCAACTTGATCATTACGTGAATGAAACTGTTATTCGTTCAGGCAAACAAGTACGATGTAATGTAGCCTTTGGTGGATGTCATACGAGGGGTTGGAGAACCGGATAATTTTGTTAGTCCCTTTCCCCTATTTCTGAATCAACGCTGCCCCCGTTGGGCAAAACTGGTACCCACTGTGCACAGCAGTCCATCAGATGAGAAAATCCAAACAATCATCTACCTCGTTGCTTATTTGCTCCGAGGAGTGGTGACTAGCGCATGCCGTGAATAATCCGTAATAGGCCAATCAAGGCGAGCGAATGCTTTACCTTCAGCTACTGGCGCAAGTCGAGTCTCTCGTCAACCAAAGCTTCAATACTCACGTCCACACCCACATCACTCCAATCCATCCGATTCATATCCAGGAGTTTTCAGGCTTTTGGTTCTTCCTTTTGTCTCGTGGTTTTTCATTATTTTTGCAATTGGCCTGAGGCCATTGGCGGCTCGAGGACAGCAGCAGTAGCCGAATGATCTTGTACGCTCTGCATGAGCTCACACACATGGATCACAGACACCAGGACACCTTACTCGTTTTCTTGATCGCTCCTGCCAAGCCACCTTGGGCGTGGTGCACAGCCTTTTTTTCTTCTTTCTCCTTTATTATTTTTTTTTTTCTCCATCATTTTTTTTCGCTTTGTACCTCACGGTGCAGCCCTCCTATTGGCTCGAGTTTTCATAGCGCGATGTCCATGTTTTATTTGATCAGAAAATATTTAATCTCACGATCTTCACTGGTGGTTTGTCCCTGTTCTACAGTCAACCATTATCGACGCATTCGACAATACTAATAGAGCTACCTGGTACCTTTCCTATCTTCGTTGTATCTGTTCATTGGTCGCATACGGGGAATACATTCAACATTGAGTCCCATAGGTGTGTGTATGCACGCAGCATAAATGGGAAAGTTTTGCCTGGCGGCACGCGATGCAAAATGTCGTCGTTTTTCTCTCTCTCTCTCTCTCTCTCTCTCTCGGTCTCTTCTACGTGACACGATAGTATGGGGCATACCTGTTTTCCCAAGTTTTACAGGAAACGGGAGGGATTCCTTTTTTGTTTTTACTTGGAAAAAGTATTTGCATTGATTAAAGGTATTTTTAGAAAGTTGCTGGATGCTTTCGAGATGATGAAAATGTCAGTTTCGGTATGAATATTTCAGGTCTTGTTGCATATTGAGTTCGTGTGGTGATGGGGTATTATTGAGGATGTGGGAAGATCGGGATTGGGATTAATCGGGGATTAATCGAGGTTGAGGGGTGGGTAGGGGGAGTTGGTGTATTGGATCTGGTGTGGGAAGATTGGTTTTAGATTCATGCATGCGGTAACTACGGCTTGTCGAGATCAACCTGATGGTTTGTCATATCAGGGGACGACAGCTTGTGAAAATTTTTTTCAGGGGTCATCATTTTTCCGGAGGTTTCATTTTTTTTTTTCTGGCGGGATTTTTGAGAGGAGCCGAACGATTTGACTGGGGCGCTGTCAGTCTTGAAAAATAATTGAGATTTCATCGAGTTGTTGCCCTCAGGTCATTGCACTAGATGATTCATAAATTTTATGAATTCTCACGGGATAATTGAATTGATGAATCTACCAATCCCGGTATGGATTGATTTTTTATGTTCAGTTATTCCCGGAATACTCCACGTACACAATAATAAACATAAAAATTTCATTCTCATGGAAAATTATTGCTGTGCTCAGTGGTTATAACCATTTTATGATGAAAGTTTTCTCAATAAAAATGTCTCGTGCCACTTTTTCATGAAAATCGGAATCCCCGTTATTCATCGCTTTATATACATGTCACCGTAGTTGCTCTGTTTTCGTTTTAGATAAACTGGTGCACGAAATTTCAGCGAATCTGGAGCACGCGACCCTCATAAGCAACTATTCGAAATACCACTCAGAACTTTAATGCATGGCATTTCCTCCTGTCCCAAGAAAGTGAACACACCAGTCCAACATTGTTCAACTTGTTTGGCATGCGCTGTATTGTACGATCACTTAAATAATTCATACTTTCAACTATAGAAATAACGTTGAGTCAAAAAACTTTTCAGGAAAAAATAATGTGTCGCGAGCTGATGGATTGGTACACTAGCAGCACTAGCTGATGGAATATAGAGTATCGAGTGGGAGGGCGATAATTATTTTCACGCATACGCACTCGACAGACCTCCCAGATTGCCTCCTACAATTACGTACCCGGAAATAATATTGAAAATGATGGATCATTCGTTTTCCTGCCTCCAGGGAAATAGATTTTTTCATTTTTCGCTTCAATCACTTGCCTCGTTGTTTAAATACCGATCGCCACCCCTGATTGACCTTGAGTATCAGTTGAATCATCCGAATTTTTTTTTGGGGGGGGGAGGGGGAGAAAAAAAACGACTGGATTACGTTATCGCGGTGGAAAACAGGTAAAAAAGGTGGATAAAAAGGCAGAGAGGGATGAAACAAAATGAAGGTGGATAAAGATAAGCCCGGAGGGTACATGAGGGGTCAGAGTCTGGATAAAGATGAAGGGAAGGAGAGATCCCACTGTGGGCATGCGAGTCAAGCCAATGGGGCACCGTGTGCCAAGAGGAAGGGGGTAACACACATTATTTCAATGTTGGCAGTAATGCCTGTTATTAAGCGATGATAATGATTGGTATTATCGCGGGTAGGGTAGCAGGACTGGTAGCAGCGGATATAAATCATCCGTTACTTCCTTCTCTCGTCTCTTGCACTAACCCTGGGCCACACTCAAACTCACTTCTGGTTGGTATATCACAGAAATGGTGGTAAAACTCTTTGAAGATTCCAGGATATTCCAACCTGCATGAATACTTCATGCCAGCAAGCTGTAAATAACAAACTTGACGTCTGGATATTTCTAGGGGTGCATGTGAAGATGCCAAAGTATTGGTGATTTAAATGCTGCTTTCTGATCCTGTGAGGGATCTCGTTTAAAATGAACCCTGCAACGCTAGTGAACATCGGCGGGGTTATGAATTTTCAATAAAATTCAACTCAAAAAATAAATCACTATTGGGAATTGATTAATCTTGGGATAAATTTTTTTTCTCTGCGCAGAGTTGGCGAATAGTAATTCCCATTTCTATTTTTTTTTTATTTCAATTTTTATCCAGAAATTCGGACGAATTGGGGGAATAAATCATCCATGGATGATCAAACTCCTCGATATTCCTTTCGATTCCTAGAACCCTCGAAAAAGGGCTCCTAAAGGCCCTGGGTTCACCATCACGTTATATTGCGATACGTGAATGCGTTTTCGATGTGGGTTTCGTGCTGTTATTTAAAAAATAAAACGACACGGTAAATAAAGTAAAAGAAAAGAAATGGGGGTTGGGCGAGGCCATTTGTATAGGTGGAGCGTGGATTGCATGTGTATGAAATGCGTGCAAGTGTGGTTTGTTGAGGGGTTGTGAGGGCTGGTGTGGCTGAAGGGGGATGAGGAGACCCTTGGAACGCCCACACCCTATCTCGATCTAATAAATTCAACATTTCGCCGGTAAACCCAGAGACTGGTCTCTCTGGCCCTCGGAAATCAGGATATAGAAAATTAACTATTGGCTGAAATAAAAAAAAAAATACTGTACTCTCCCATCAAATATTTCTTCATCTACAGACATCATTTTTGGTCAATCTTTCGGTCATTAAGTTCAAAGAACAATTGACAATTAATAATCCATAATTCCGTCATTTGAATCCACACATCCGATTTTTGAGGACAAATCGATCATTCAGAATCGATTGATGGAACACGGGGAAATTTCATATTCTTATTCCAAAAATTTGATTCTCCAATATCTTGATACCAGAATGGTACCACAAAGTGTCTGAAGGCACTGAGAGGTTACCGAACCCTTCAAACATCTCTCCTCCGTGGATGTCACTGAAAAAGCCAGGAATTTGCAAAAATGAACAATTATAGGAATCCGGAGTGGCTGAGGGGAAAGCATCCGTCCTCATGGGAGTATTCCCGTAGGATATGGAGGGAATGAGAAGGGCGCATGCGCGAGAGCGGGTCTTTTGAAGTATCCAGGCGTTTCGTTTTCTTGCCGATTTCTCTCTCTCTCTCTCTCCCTCCATTTCTTTACCTTCCCTTCAATCTCCTTTTTCATCGTATAACTCTCCGTCTCCCTCGTTTCGGTATTTCG